AAAGGTGGGGGTGTCTGTCTTTATGTAAGAAATGATCTGAAAGCTCAATGTGACAGAGGCTGTGATGAGGCTGAAATATTATGGGTGGAACTGCATATGGGTGTGTGAACTTCAAAGCTAATCATTGGAGTTTGTTATAGACCACCCAGTGTTAATGAGTAGGTGAAAACTCAGCTCCTTGCACATAGAAAGGGCTGCAAAGGCTGGGACAGTGGTAATAATGGGGGACTTTTAACTACCCAGAAACTGACTGGAGTAATGGCACTGCAGGAACAGTCTGAAAATGTATAAACCTATTACAAGACAATTTTATGGTACAGTTTATAGACGCCTCAAATAGAAATGATGCTTTGCTGGACCTGGTAATCTCAAACCATGCAAATGTAAACACTTTGCATTGTTAGTGAGAATGCAGAATGTTATTCATCCACAAGATGGCAGCATTCAGCTCTTTTACTTGTCAAAGCCTTAACCACTTCAGTACCAGGCACTTTCACCCGCTTCCTGTCCAGGCCAATTTTCAGCTTTCAGTGCTGTCACACTTTGAATGACAACTGTGCGGTCATGCAACACTGTACCCATATGTAATTTTTTTTCACGCAAATAGAGTTTTCTTTTGGTGGTATTTAATCACCTCTGTTTTTTTCTTTTTCTTTTTTTTGCTAAATAAACCAAAAAAAATCCCTGAAAAATATTTGGAAAGTAGACAGTCGAACGCATTTAGTAAGAAGCATGATGAATTTTTGAAATTATAATGTTTGTCACAATTGTTTGGAGTATGAAGAAAATATACATTTTTGAATGTAGTTTTTTACATACTGTCACCAGTGCAGTACTGTCTTATCATATAACTGGTGTGGTGTTAAAGAGGCAACAAGCAACAGAGAAATACAAAGGAGTTGAAAATGAATAATACTTGCAAGTCCTGGTTTGCAGAGTCCAATGAATAAGTAGAGATGGTACAGTGACTCTCTCAAGTCCAGTTAGGTGTTCTTTGGTTTGATCATACACGAGAGCTGTCAAAATGTGGGTGCATTCCACTTTTCTTCACATCAAGGGGGGTTTGACAGAGAACATCTGACCAATTATCCAATGATCTAAGGGGTGGTTACTGAGATATCAAGTTTATGAGACGTTTATGACCAAGTCCCATATACAGTTTTCTATAGGTATTAATATCTCTGATTACCTACAAATTACAGCCTGCTAATGTGCATATTCTTGCCTAGCATGAAATTAGCTTTGGAATTAATATAAATATGAGAAGTTTCAGATGTAATCTTCACCTCGGAGGCTTAGGGGTTCCATTGATCCCCCTTATTGTTTACTATAGGGGTGTTTGGACCTGGAATGTTAAAAATTAACTGAGGAAAGTAAATATGTCCTTGCTATGGCTGTGCTGTTATTATTTCATGAGTTACATCGTTAGTCTGGTTGAAAAAAAAGACACAAGTCCATCTAGTTAAACCAATAAAAGGGAAAAAAAATATAATCCTATATACATAATCCTTTACCCACAGTTGATTCAGAGGAAGGCATAAACCCCCCCCCCCCCCCCCCCAACAATTTGCTCCAGCAGGGGAAAAAAAATCCTTCCTGATCTCCCAAGAGAACCAACTCTTGAGGGAGTCTATTCCACATTTTCTCAGATTTTAGTGTGAAGAAGCCTTTCTGTATTTGGAGATTAAATCTCTTTTCCTTGTCCTCTGTGATGACCTCCCACTATATGAACCACTGATGTATTTATGCATGTTGATCATATCCCTCCTTAATCTCCTCTTCTCAAGAGAGAATGCATTCAGTTCCTCAAATCTTTCCTCACAGTTGTGCTCCTCCATGCCTTTTATCCAGTTTCCCAATATCATTTTTGTGAATTGGTGCCCAAAATGAACTGCATATTTCAGATGTGGTCTTATTAATTATATCTCTCTCTCTCTGGAGTCTGTACCTCTCTTAATGCAAGAAAGGATTTTGCTCACTTTTGAAACCCCCACTTGGCATTGCATGCCATTATTAAGCTTATGATCTACCTTCTCCACCATTGATTCACCCAGTCTAATCCCCCCTAGTATGTAAGAGGCATGCATATTTTTAGCCCCATCTGCATAACTTTACTTTTATCAGCATTAAAGCTCATTTGCCACACAGTTGCCCAATTATGGGCATTATTGAGCTCAGCTTGTAAATTGGAGACATCCTGTAAGGACGTTATTCCACTGCATGGCTTGGTGTCATCTGCAAACACTAAAATAGTACTTTTAATCTCAGACCCTATACAGACCCTATATAATTTATAAATATATTAAAAAGTAAGGGTTCCAACATTGAACCTTGGGCTACACCACTAATGACCTTAGACCATTCAGAGTATGAATAATTAACCACTACTCTCTGTAAATGGATAGAAAACTGGCTAAAAGATCGTATTCAAACTGATTCTTCCAAGCCTGTAGACTTTACCTTACAGATTTGCCGCGTGTGGGGAACTGTGTCATACATGTTTGGAAAATCTAAGTATACTACATCCACAGCCACTCCTTTGTCTAAGGTTTTGCTTACCTCCTAAAAGAAATCAGGTTTGTTTTCGTTATGAAATATAGTGAAGTTTTAGAGTATTGGCTGATAACTAGTCTATCAGAAATATGAATTGCTACAGTATTTATGATAGGGTGAGAGCTGCAAGTGTCTGTTAGTTCTCCGAATTGCTCAAGCTTGCGAGGGTGACAGTTTTGTTAGGGTTTCCAGATTGAAATGTGGATTGGTTAATGGAAAGGTTCTGTGTGTGTCCAATCAATGGACTGATAAGAAGGTCCTAGCATCAGTTAACAGTTGTGTATTCCATAAACCGAAGGAGGAGGGACGGGGAAGGTTACTACAGCTGTGTTTCTAGTTCAACACAGCAAAAGATGGTGACAAGTAAAATGTAATAGCTGAATTTTGAACAACATGGCTGCCACACACATACACAACCTGTGGTGTGCCTAGTATGCATGACCATCACAGAGGAGAGTTCTGTTGAGCCGAGCATCAAGTGGAGAAGGCTGCTCTGGGGAGACCTTCCAGCTGCAGGAGTGTGTGAGTCACTGCCATCACAGCCACATCTCCAATTAAAGGGCCCCCCCCACTGCAGGAAGCCTGTCGCTTCTCTGATTGTTGCATAAGGAATGGGTGAGAGGGTCACTGACTCACGTATCATTGTATCCAGGTACAGTTAGTTTGTTGCCAGCCAGATTTTTCAAGATTATAAAGGATGAAGGATGCTTCAGCATTGGCCTGTATCACTGACAAATGCATAGTGCCCTTTATTTCCACAAACTGCCGTCCCTCATCTGCCTTCAGGTTGCTGAACTGAGTTAACCCCTTGCTCCCTGCTAGGTAGAATCTTTTTTTCTATGTAGCTGCATCCACTTTGGCCCAAGCCATCTAAGGAAGGTGCTTTTGCTGTTTAAGATCAAACTTACTTCTTAAAGTGAACCACGCCTACAGATCCACTCTTTTAAAGTGACTTTTGCCAACAACTCTATAGCTTAAATTAACCTTTGCATGCAATTCCCTATCCTAAAGCGAACTGTGCCAACAATCTTATCTCTTAAAATGGCCTCTGCCAACAACTTTTCCTCTAAAAAGGGAACTATCCTGTTCATTCCACCTCTTAAAGGGACAGCACATTACACTGCAAGCCAACGTAAAGGCCCCAACAAAGCTAACAGAAGAACCTGTCACAGTCAGGCTCGGAGACCAGTAGCTATTGCAGCGGAGGCATTTCCACCGACCAGCAGGATGGTATGCAAGCAGGTCACCTTGGCAGATGACAAGGACTTACCTGAGGTGTGGGGTCTAAGCATTACCCGATATTCACCAGAGCTCCTGTTGGTGGAGATAGGTTTGTTGCGTGTTAGTACCAGGTTGCAGTCCTCAGAATCGCTCCACCAGGAGGTGAGCAAGACAGGATCTAGTAGCAGATATAGAAGATAGGGATCAAACAGAAGTAAGTCACAAGCCAAAGGTCGGTAACAAATGGTTGTAGGTTGGAATCAGGCAGATATGTAGTCAAGGAACAAGCCAAAGGTTGGTAATGAGTGGTAGTGAAGGTATGGACAGCAGCAGGAGAGACAAGAGCGAGATATTGCCTGGAGAAGGCACCATATTCTGGCAAGCAGGAAGTGCAGAGACATGACTTAAAACAGAAAGTTCATAGGAGAAGCAAAGAGCTCAAGGTTCAGCAGAAAACAAGGCACAAGGGCAGCATTGTCCAATGGATCAGGCAGAGTGCTGTCCAGCATCTCAGGTAGCTCAGTAAGAAGAGTTCCTGCCAGACATAGCAGAGGAAGGAAATAGCAGAGGGCCCAAATCTATCAGTGGCTCCTTTGGCGATAGCATTACACGGAGCTTATTACTAATGTTCATATAAAAACATCTGTGTAGCAGTGGCCATAACACAATTTCATTTAATGTTAGCTGTAAACCACAAGAACATACTGGAAAGATAAAAACACTTAAGTTTAAGAGAGCAAATTTTCCAAGGCTGAGGGCAGCTCTCCAAGTCTTAGACTGGAAAGGAATATTGTAGTCGAAGAACATAGAACAGAAATGGGAATTCTTCAAAATCACTGTATGCGAACACATTGCAAAATATATTTCCATGGACAAAAAGTTTAAAAGGCTCAAAACAAAACCTAAGTTGCTCACGGCCAAAGTTAAAAAAGCTATAAATAATAAGAAAAGAGCTTTTAAAAAATAAATAAAATGAATGAACACTTTCATCATTTAAAGTTACAAAGAATATAACACAATATGTAAAATTCTAAACAAATGGCAGATTGTAAAAGAGAGTAGGATTAACCCCCCAAAAATTCTTCAAATACCGTATTTGCCGGCGTATAAGACGACTGGGCGTATAAGACGACCCCCTACTTTTCCTGATAAAATATAGGGTTTGGGCTATACTTGCCGTATAAGACTACCCCTCTTCCAACGCACACCAAATAAAAATGAAAAAACATCAGATTTGATTTCAATATGGTATGGTATTTCAGTATGGTATTCCAATGATGGGGTGCTATTCCTCCCACTGACACCAATGATGGGGCACTATTTCATCCACTGACACCAATGATGGGGCACTATTCCTCCCACTGACACCAATGATGGGGCATGATTCCTCCCACTGATACCAATGATGAGGCACTACTCCTCCCACTGACACTAATGGTGCCCCATCAGTAGTGTCAGTGTGTGAGGAATAGTGTCCCATCATTAGTGTCAGTGGGAGGAATAGTGCCCCATCATTGGTGTCAGTGGATGAAATAGTGCCCCATCATTAGTGTCAGTGGGAGGAATAGTGCCTCATCATTTGTATCAGTGGGAGGAATAGCACCCCATCATTGGTATCAGTGGGAGGAATAGTGCCCCATCATTAGTCAGTGGGAGGAATAGTGCCCCATCATTGGTGTCAGTGTGGAGGAGGAACAGTGCCCCATCATTGGTGTCAGTGTGGAGGAGGAATAGTGCCTCATCGTTGGTGTCAGTGGGGGAGGAACAGTGCCCCATCATTGGTGTCAGTGGGGGAGGAATAGTGCCCCATCATTGGTGTCAGTGGGGAGAATAGTGCCCCATCATTGGTGTCAGTGGGGAGAATAGTGCCCCATCATTGGTGTCGGTGTGGAGGAGGAATAGTGCCCCATTGTTAGTATCAGTGGGGGAGAGGAGCGGCTGCTGCTTCTTTCAGTTCAGCAGCTTGATTTTCGCGGGGCCGTTCGGCTCCGCCTCCTCGCCGGTGATTGGTCGCCTGTGTGCGCTGGCGCCCAATCACCGGTAAGGAGGCGGAGCCGGCGACCATCGAGCGGCCGAACTGAAAGAAGGAGCAGCCGCGCTTCCTGGACCGGATCATCGTGGGACCGGGACCGGAGCCAGGTAGGGTACAGCAGCCCCTCTGCCCACCCCTGTACTTAGTGTCCGTTGGAGGACACCGCCCCTGGAAAAAGTGCCGCCCTGACACACTGGCTCGCCGTATACCGGCGTATAAGACGACCCCCGACTTTTCAGAAGATTTTCAGGGGTTGAAAAAGTCATCTTATACGCCGGCAAATACGGTATATTAACCTCCTTGGATGTATTCCCGAGTGTAGCTCGGGGTAAAGTTTCAGCACCACAAGCAGTAATCCCGAGCTACACTCGGGAATACCCTGCAGCATTGCTCCAGGATCTCTTCTGCACTTACCTTGTTCCTTCGCTCCCACGATGTCCCCCCTGCAGCATCCCCGGCAATGTCCTCCGGCCGATGCCGGCATCTGTCTTTCGGGTTCCGTTCCCTGCGACGTCAGGATGTACGGGGACGGAACTGGCGGGAAATTTAAAAATGTCAAAAAGTGCCATTCACTAAATACACTAAAATCACATAGTAAAAACATTACTGTATCAAACCATTTCACATACATTTTGTCCCTAGTGCTTTGTCCTGTACCCTGCCTGTTGTTGTGTCTTGAACCATTAGCAGTAGTGATCAGAGCACACCCTGACATAGCAGGAGTGACTGTGAGGGGGAAAGAATATAAACTCTCACTTTTTGCAGATGACGTTCTATTGACTATAACTAAACCTCACTTGTCACTACCTGCATTGCATACACTTTTACAAACTTTTAGTGATTTATCTGGTTTTAAAATAAACACTTCAAAGACAGAAGCTATGCCCCTTAATATCCCATCCCAAGATCTGCTCCAACAAAATTACACTTACCACTGGTGCATGTCATCTATTAAATACCTCGGCACTCATATAACACCAACTTATGCTCAGTTATTTGAGGCTAACTATCACCCACTGAAATATATGATCTCCTAAATCAGTGGGATGCCTATAAGATATCTTTCTTGGGTAGCGTAAATGTGTTAAAGATGTCAATTTTGCCAAAGCTACTTTACCTTTTTGAGACTCTACCATTCGCAATTCCACAAGCTCAACTGCAAACTCTACAACAAGCATTTTTTAGATTTATTTGGCACGCCAGAAAGCCCCGAATAGCGAGAACAGTTCTTTTGTCATCTAAAAATAATGGAGGCTTAGGGGTACCAAATAATACCAAATACTATTTAGCCACTCATTTGAGACAAACGCTATCATGGTTCACCCAAAAGCCTCAGAACAGATGGGCAGAGATTGAATTAGGCTATATTTATCCGATCCACACATGTTCATTGTTACACCCTTTTCATTATGTATTACCCCTTTCCTCTCCCCTCCCTTTGCTCAAATCTATGAAATTTACCCTCAAAATTTGGTCAACTTGTGTGAAATCTCAACAGTCATTGTCCCTGTGCTCTCCATCATTGAATGTTTTTGTATAATCCAGATAGTCTGTCTCACCCACAGATGAGCCCTTGGGTAATTAATGGGATAATTAAACTCTGCCATCTGATCAATCTGGTCTTGCACAGGATTCAGTCATTTGAGATTAGGGTGTGGAGATCCACAATACCTGTATCAGCCAGATATACCTATTTACAGTTCTTTATATAAACTACTTTTCAATAAAGGTGCTCTTATTGATAATCCCCACAGTTATATGAAGAGGTGGGAGGACGAACTCCAATGTTCAATCACTTTGAAATGTTGACAGGTGATTTGGGAATCTGTTGCTAAGACTTCTCGCTGTGTTGTGTATAAAGAAAATTTATATAAAATATTGATGCATTGGTACATTGTAGTGCTTCATGCGATCAACCCGAATCTGTCTGACATGTGCTGGAGGTGTATAGGGGGAGTAGGCACCTTGGCACACTTCTGGTTTTGTCCACAGATTGCAGGTTACTGGGCTATGGTTAAAATGGTCTTGGAGCAAGTACTCAATGTTACCCTACCCCTAGACATTATCTTTTGGGGCTACCCTTTAGGGATACCTCTAAGCAGTCTAAGAGGTTGGGAATACATATTGTGACAACTGCTAGATGAGTGATACAATGATTCTGGAAATCAGTTGATGTTTCCACGCTAAATCATCTCTTAAGAGCTATCTCTGAAATCAGGGAAATGGAACATCTTACAGCTCTAGTGGGTGAATACTCAGGTCATTTCCTCTCTTTTTGGGAACTATGGGATCATTCTCCCTTTGGTAGACTCCCTTCCTCTCCCCCTCTTCCCCCCCCCCCCCTATATAGTCTAGACACCTCTTTATGAACCGAGCCTCTGACAAATATTGTAACCCAACGATGTGAAGGCTTACGTCATTTTGTGCTTTTGTATTGTGCAGTTTATCATGCTGTCTAATTATGTTCACATTTCTTCTTTTTTTTTGTTTTCTTTATACTGATTGTGTGATTTTCTTTCATTGCAACATTTACACCTAAAGTGTTGTTGTAACTATGTAGGCTTTGGCCTATAATAAAAATGTATAATATTAAAATATTCGCAAAGTTAAAATAAAAGGTACCATTTAAGTCTTTGCAGATGACACCAAGCTACTGTATGCAGTGAAAAAACATACAGGATGTCTCCACCAAGATGATCTCATTGCACTGTTTAACCATTTGACCTCCAGAAGGTTTTCTACCCTTCATGACCAGATTATGTTTTGCTATTCAGTACTATGCTATTTTAACTGACAATTGCTTGGTCATGCAACACTGTACCCAAATTACATTTATATATTTTTTCACATAACTAGAGATTTCTTTTGGTGGTATTTAATCACCACTGTGTTTTTTATTTATTGCTACATAAACGACAAACTACTGAAAATGTTGCAGACAAATTAGCTTTTTTTCATAAATTTACACCCACAATGTATTTTGCTACTTTAAACAGTACAGTGGATAAGTGGTTAGTGCTTCCGCCGAGCAGCATAAGACTTGTCTGTTCAAATCCCAACCATGGCACTACCTGCCTAGATTTTGTATGTTCTCCTTGTGCCTGTGTGGGTTTCCTCTCACATTCCAAAGACATGCTGGTAGGCTAATTGGTTCCTGTCTAAACTGGCCCTAGTGAATGTGAGTCAGGGATTGTAAGCTCCTTAGGGGTAGGGTCTGATGTGAATATACAATATATATGTAAATTGATAGCTTTATATAAGCACCTGTAATAAATAACAAAAATAACCTTGGTTAGAATCTACAAACTATGGTTATGAATGTATATATATATATATATTTGAAAATTCATCAGTCCCGATGTACTGACATCCTACCTCATTTCTTGAGGTCCTAAATGCCAGGACAGAACAAATACCCCCCAAATGGCCCCTTTTTGGAAAGAAGACAGTTCAAGGTATTTAGTAAGAGGCATGGCGAGTCTCTTGAAGGTGTAATTTTTTTTTTTTTACATACTGTCACCAGTTCAGCGTCATCATAATTGGTGTGGTGGTGATACTTACTGGTGACAGTATGTTAAAATAATAATTTTTTATTCAATTTTTTAACATGTTTTCTTTTTTTTGCAATTTTGTTTCTTTTTCTACAATTTTTTTTAAATACTGTCAACAGAGTAGTTCAGTATCACCATAGATGCTGTACTACTCTGGAGGGGTGATCAGGGATTTTTTTTACACTGTGATTGCTATAAACAGTGATGATCACTGTTATATGCAATCATTTAAATGTTCAGAATGGATTTCATTCATTACAGCTTGCTTACTATTGTGATGCTGTGATTGGCTACAGCTAATCACTTGGTAAAGTGTGCTGTGATTGACCCAGGTACCATGTGATGGCTGTGGGCCAATCACAGCATCACAATAGTAAGCAAGCTGCCATGAATGCAAGCCATTAATGACAGTTTTGCTAACATGTTATCATGTGATCGTTCTGATTTCTCATAGCGATCACATGGTACCCTGGCCACTCACATCAACCGGGAACTGAACACAATGGTCACAGGATCGCATTGCTCCATGCAACAGGGGGGGTGCCAGTGTCCATGTCCACCGCAGCATATGAGTAGATAATGGTGACTGGGGAAGCCACATGCCAGCAGTAAATGTAATGTTGGCGAACGGCTAGTGGTTAATTGGGCAAGTATCTGGCAAATGAGGTTTAATGTTGATATATGTAAAGTTATGCACTTGGGGGCTACAAATATGCACTCATTATAAATATTAGGCGTACAACTGGGAAAATCAGTGGGAAGGACCTGGTTGTTCTGGTAGACCATAGCATGCAAAGCCAAGCTGCAGTTTCCAAAGCGAGCAAAATCCTTTCTTGTATTAAAAGGGGTATAGGCTCCAGAGAGAGAGAGAGACATTATTTTGTCACTGTACAAATCTCATCTAGAATATGTAGTTCAGTTTGGGTACCAGTTCACAAAACCATGGTGACACTGTACTACTTGTGGGGGGTGATGAAGATTTTTTTATTTTTTTTTACACTGATTGCTTTTACATCCATAAAGGCTGTAAAAGCAATAATTTCTCCTTCTCTCTGGTTGCATTCTTGCAGCCATTGAGAACTACTGTGTGAGCTGTGATTGGTCACAGCTTGTCACATGGTACAAGGCTGTTGTGAATAGCCTTGTACCATGTGACCTCTGTGATCATTCACAGATTTCACACGTAGTAAGCAATGATGTCAGAAGTGACATCATACTT